TGAGCAATCATGAAAAAAGTAGCACTCCAAAGTGATTATTATTGTTAAGTATTTAAGTGTGATTTTTTAAATAAATATTTAAAATAATGGATTATTGATATCATATTCCCTTACAAAATAAGCAGAATTGGCTTGTAATGATAATAAAACTAAATGATAATACTAATCATTCACGTGATTTAAATAAGTCTTAGTGCCTATCTAATTTTTTTGTCTTTTTTTTAAATGTTTATAAGTACTAAGTTTCAAAAGAAGGTTTCGGGGACCTGTATGTAAGAGACTAAAAAGAAAAGTAACATAAACATAACAGATAAAAAATAAATAAAATAACATATTTAAAATAATTGGGATATTTTGACTTTGCACCCCGCTTTTTGGGTGATATTGGATTTTGCACCACATTTTCAAAATTCTTAGACTTCGCACCCTAGCCTATTTGCCTTGAAATGTCTTTGCCTTTACATCCCATTCAGGATTTTTTCTTCACAAAATGTTGTAGATAGGGTGTAAAGTCTAAAAGTTTTGAAAATGGGGTGCAAAGTCCAATATCATCCAAAAAGTAGGGTGCAAGCTCAAAATTCCCCTTAAAACAAAAGACACTACATATGATGGGATTAAATCAAGTAGTGTTCTAAAAACATAAATTCAATATACTTTTCTTGTTCAATTTATCAAAATAGATCATTTTAGTATCAAGAAAATGGGGTATTCGAACAAAAAGATTAATTTTATCACTTTCTCTTATTTATAAAAAAAAGAAAAATTGAAATATGTTAGTAACACTTTCATGGTTCTAATAATGGTGTTTGCAAATTGCAATCAAATTAGATTAGAAAATCAATTTAGATCGGATAATCAATTATAACTGATCGAAAGATCAATTCAGACCAGACGTGGATCGGTTACGTTCTGGACTGGCTTGGTAAAACTAAGACTATTTGGCTCCGTATGAGATGGAGGGCAATTATAAAACTAATACATAGGAAGGAGTATTATATGTCAATATTTTTATTTAAAATACATTAAATTAGAAAAATATTGAAAATTCAAATTGCATTTGATTTTATATAAATATTTATAAATGCAAAATTTTATGTTTTAAAAAGGACTAATGTAGTCTAGAAAAGAAACATTTGTTAGAAAGAAGATTCTATTTGAAAAAAAAGGAGAAATTAATACTAATAATATATACTTTTATAGATTTAACAAAAATAATTCTTATTAGAGAATTTCAAAATAATTCTAAACTCGTTAACTGCTTCACAAAAAGAATCACAAGCTAACGGTATTCCATTTTCATTGTCTTACTTTTTTTGGGGATTGTCTCAAAATGAATATACTACATCCGCCCCAAACCACTATTATTAATCTGGTAGCGTCTGTTTACCTTCAACTTCATGGACTTGATGAGAACAATGACTTAACCGTTCAATCATTAAATCATGTTTACTTACGACTTGATTGAAAGCATGACTTCATCATCATTTAGTCAAAAAACTGACTTAACCACTAAACTGGATATTAACAGTCCTTCTCGTTAAGACGTCTATTAATACGTTTTTTTCAATCAATTTTTTCAAGTTGATTGTGGAATATATTTATATTAATAAATGATGTTTCTTATTGACTTTACAACTCAAGAATAATAATAAATTGATTATTTTACTCCATTCAGACCATCTATTCAACACAGAAAGTAAATAGCTTCACATATAAATATCATTTAATCCAGACAGACATGTTAATCCAGACATACATCTTAATCCAGACATGACTTAATTGAATAAAAAGGGGGAAAACTGTCAAATAGGTCCTCGAACTTTCATAAAAGGTCAAATAAGTCCTTATATAGGAGGCATTGTCCAGCCATCGCGATTTGGGGCGTTTCCCGGTGGAATTTTTTGATGAAAATTTTTGAGCATCTTATTCATCAAGTCTAGTTTACTCATACCAAATTTCAGCTAAAACTTCAATCGGGAACGCATTCAAATTTATTCTTGAAGATAACTGCGCATTTATCTTCAAGAATAAATTTGAATGTGTTACCGATTGAAGTTTTAGCTGAAATTTGGTATAAGTAAACTAGACTTGATGAATAAGATGCTCAAAAAATTTCATCAAAAAATTCCACCGGGAACCGCCCCAAATCGCGACGGCCGGACAGAGCCACCTATATAAGGACTTATTTGACTTTTTTATGAAAGTTCGATGACCTATTTGAAAGTTTTCCCAAAAAAAAGTAAACAACTCCTTACTTTATATATAAAACTTTTATCAAATTTGATTTTTCTTTTTTGGTGAGTTTATATAACTTTTAATATACTTTCTGAATGTGTAAATTTGATTTTTTAAAGATAAAATTAGTGTGCACAGAGATCTGTTTGCTTTATCTTTGGCCAAACCTCATAAGCCGCAATCAGACCAATAAATTGGGACGGAGTGAATATCATGTTTCCTTTTGGCAAGAGATATGTGATATTTATTATTTCACTTTATTATATTTTAGTCAAATATCAATCACAACTTTTACTTTTCAATCACATAATCGAGTAAAACTAAAACAAAGAATTTAATATGGGATATAGGTAATATTAGTTTTTTTTTTCAAAAAATGAACAAATACTATTCAAGATTTCATATCAATATTTAATTAACTTAATCTTGTTTTATTCACTACAATAGAGGACAAAATAGTTTTAGTAATATTGAATTAAACATTAATACGAAGTATTATTCATTCAGTCAAGTTTTATAATTTGAAATGTAATTTATTTTAAAAATTTATATTATGTTTATGTAAGACATTCTCTAACCCTTTATTTATTAAAAACCCCTTAAATTCAGACATTTATAATCACAAACTTTGAAAAAGTATATGTAAATATTCTGACTTTGTTAAGAGTTTTGACGAGAAACCAACGTAATGAAAAGTTAACCCAGTTAAGTGCCATTTTATTTGTGTGAAACGTTTAACGTCTGTCTTGTAGCATTGAAATTGATCGGCTAAATTTGTTAAAATAGATGATGTACGTTCTGGCTTAATCAATTGATCAGTGATCAGGTTAAACTCGGTGAGTTATGAGAAAAAAAAATTAAATATATTTTAATAAGAAAATAAAGAAAAAATTATATAGAAAATAGTTAAAATGATCTTCTATAATAACTTTAGTTAATTCAATCACAAAAGTAATTTTAACCTTATTTATTTTGATTAATGTACAATCTAGCGCGCTTAACGCCTGAAGTCATGAACTAATAATGATTATCACCTTTTATTGGGTGGAATATTTATAGTGTTAAAATTTAAAATAGGTAGGAATTAGTATCAATTTCATTTCTTGGCGCCACCACAATAGATAGATAAAAATAGATGGATTCACACATTCTTACACATACATACACTGATATAGGCAGATACACACGATATCAGTGATACATATACACAAGGCCACAGGGGCGGAGCCAGAAAAACGTGTGCGTGGGGTCAGGATTTAATTATATACATTATCAAAATGATGGATAGTTATAATTAAATGTTTCATATGTAGCTAACATAAATGGTAGATTAATGAGTCTTTTTCAGTTAATGTATTGATATATATATTTAATGTATCATAATATTCAAACAACTAATGATTGAATAAGGTGCATTATTTTTAAATTTAAGAATATAATCAACGTCACACATCAAATTTTATTTCTTTCAAGTTAAGATGGTGCTGATTTTTGACTTTTTCCTCGAAATAATGCTAATTAAATAAATAAATCCCAAAATACTGTTGGGTTAAAACTAATTCTCAAAATACTGCCGGATTAACCGGGGTTAAGCAGCCCATTATCAAAACTCCGTATCACGTAACACACGCAAGGCGCAAGCAAGCCAAAGTCTAAAATCATTGCATGGTAATGGGTCCCACCATATTAAAAATCTTCTGTTTTCTTTAAAGTGCTATAACTTAGCTTTTTAATTTGTACTCTGATTGTTACAAAAATATACCAAAGTTCATAATTTTTTATTATCTTTTATATGACACTAATATTGAATATATAAAATAAAAAAAAAAATCTTTACAAATTACTGCGCATATGTTTTTAAAGTGCTACTACATCCATCCCAAATTTATCTTCACTCTTTCCTTTCCTTTTTGACAAAGAATTTGTGGTTCACAATTGTTCATACACATTCTAACATATTTCTCTCCTCTGCACAACTCTCCACCACACAAATCTCACTATCTTAATATGTGTGCCCAGTTTTTACTCGGACGGAGAGAGTATATATATATTTTATTTGTATTCCGGTTATTTTCAAAATATATATCAAAATTTATCATTTTTTATTATCTTTTATAGGAAGCAATGTTTCGTATAGAAAAATAAAAAGAAAATCCTATAATTTGTGTAGTTTAGGATCATTTTTTACCATGCACTAATAAAACGATCCTAAACTACACAAATTAATAGATTTTCTTTTTATTTTCTATATGAAACATTTCTTTCCTATAAAAGATAATAAAGAATAATAAATTTTGATATATTTTTTGTAATCATCGGAATACAAATAAAAAAATACATAACACTTTAAAAAAAAGATACACAACAATTTTTAAAGTGTTAAATAATTTTTTGATTTTACGTATTCAATATTGGTGTCATTTGAAAGATAATAAAAAGTTATGAATTTTGATATATTTGTTGTAACAATCAGAGTACAAATAAAAAAGTTATAATACTTCAAAGAAAACGGGAGATTTTTAATTTTGTGGGGCCCATTACCATGTAATGTATTGTTGACTTTGGCTTGCTTGGGTGATTTGCTTGATACGGAGTATTTGAGAAAGCCGCCACTCTATTGTATTTTGGGAATTAGTTTTAACCCAACAATATTTTGGGAATTATTTATTTAATTAGTATTATTTCAAGAAAAAAATCTTGATTTTTTCAAACCAAAGGTATTTCAGTGTAGCCTGATCACACTGACCCTCGACTCCGCCCCTGCATATACATGAGTTGACCAAGTCTTCGTTGATATACGAATTTCGAAGAAGTGGTTATAATTGTGCTGCTCGATCTTTGCTGTTGCCTCCTTTTCAAACCACTTCACTTGGTTATGTATAGTGGAAATATAACCGCACAAATCCCAGAAGCTAGATGAGGCGAAATTTAGTTAGCAAATTACAGAAACTTGGGAGAATTCAAGCATGCGCAGATCACTGTTATCTTCACCGATTGAAATTGCAATTGCAATTGCAGCTGGGGTGAGTTGCTTGCTGGTGATGAGCGCAGCTTCCAGTAAGTGCATTGATGGGGAAAGGGAAGTGCTCCTGAAGTTTAAGCAAACCATTCACGGCAAACTACGCTCTTGGGACAGCCAAAATGATTGCTGTGATTGGAAGGGCGTTGGGTGCGATAACCTTACCGGGCATGTCGTCAAAATCGATCTTTCCGGTATGTATCTGTCCCCGAAAGTTAGACATACCACCATTCCATTCATTGAGCTGCAATATTTGAAGTATTTGGATCTTAGCTCTAACTATAACTTGCTGGAAAACCAGACCATCTCATCATTGATTGAGAACAACAACAACAATAATAGTAATGGTAATAGTTTAGTTTCCATTCAGCATCTCAGCCTTAGTCAAACTGGAATCATTGGCACCATTCCTGGAAATTTGGGAAACCGCCTGCCTGCCCTCACTCACCTTAATCTCAGCATGAATGGGTTAGAAGGTTCTATGCCTGAAAATTTTGGAAATAGCATGTCTGCCCTAACACACCTTGATCTCTGGGGTAATAGTTTAGAAGGTGCCATTCCACATTCTTTGTTCAATGTGTCAGCACTGTACCTTTCTTGGAATAAGTTCACTGAACTCAACTCCCTATGTGACATTAAAGCTGTTGCTGCTTTGAGGATTTTGGATATCTCGTTCAATCATCTTTCAGGAACGCTCCCGGATTGTTGGGAAAATCTCCGTAGTCTAGCATTTCTCAACTTGGCAAACAATCACAATCTGTCGGGGAGTCTTCCGACTTCCATTGGTTCATTGGCTTCCCTGGAGGGATTGCATCTTGACCATAATAATTTTACAGGCACTCTACCATCATCCATGAAAATCTGCTCCAGCTTGGTAGTTTTACATTTGGGACACAACAAGTTGTTAGGACCAATACCAGATTGGGTGGGTGAAAATCTAACACGACTCGCTGTACTTGTGCTAAGATCCAACAAGTTCAATGCAAGTGTACCCTCAAGTCTTTGTCGTCTCCAATCACTTCAACTGTTGGACCTGTCAGTGAACCACATCTCAGGGACGCTTCCCGACTGTCTTTCTAATCTCACTGGAATGACCGTCCATGAACCACATCCCAGTGCCACTATTTCTTATGAAGGTGTTAGCCAAGGCGACACAATAGATATTGTATGGAAAGGTCAGGTCATTCAACTTCAAACTACATTAGGACTCATAAAGAGCTTTGATCTATCATCCAACATGTTGAGTGGTGAGATTCCAACTGAAATCACATCGCTAGATGGGTTGGTTTCATTGAACTTATCACGAAACAATCTAAGGGGACAGATTCCTCCTAGGATTGATAACTTGTCAAACTTAGAGACTCTTGATTTGTCTCATAACCATTTGTCTGGTAGCATTCCTCAAAGCCTTGCCCTTATTCATCGCATGAGTTTTCTCAACGTATCCAACAATAACTTATCAGGAAAAATCCCGGATGGCACTCAACTTCATAGCTTTGATGCAAGTACATACACGGGGAATCTCGGGCTATGCGGAGATCCACTCCCTCACAGCTGTCGAAGAGAATCAACTCACCCTACTATAGAAGAAGCGGATAAGTTTTTTTGCCATGAGTTTTACGCAAGCATGGGGGTTGGATATGCAGTTGGATTTCTGGGAGTTATTGTGAACATTCTATTTATCAGGTCCTGTAGGTTTGCATATTTCAAACTCCTTGATGACTTCGCTAATTGGGCTTATGTTGTGGCTGCAATCCACAAGGCAAAATTTGTGAGAATACTTGGGGGTTAAACACCTTTGTCTTACAAGCATTTTTTGCCCTTGCAAATGCATTGACGCATAGAGCTAGCTCAGGTCAAGTCTTCTTTTATCCTACTCCATTGTGATTCGAATTTAGCTTTTGTCATCACACATGCTCTAAGAAGACAGTAACAAATATTTTTTATGAATGGACTCTCTTATTGTTTTTCTGATGTGCTTCAACTTGGAATATACGTAGTAGGTCATAGGTGATGAGGAAGAGTTTGAATGAGTGGAAGAAGAAATTGCTCAGAGTGTATAAACAGTCCATGATCGATGCAATAAGATGTGATTGGTGAGGATCTCGTCGTCTATAGCCAGTAAAATTTATTTATATTACCTATTTTCAAAATTATCTTTGTTAAAGACAACACTATAACAAGAAATTAAAAAGGACCAAACACATGTCTGGTTAATTACTATTAGCACATAGAAAATTGAAATGAGGAATTAAATAAATTGTCATTTTAATTCTTTATAGATTTGACGTCTGTGTTTCATCATGCACGCTCCTTGCAGTACACATTCCATTCAAGCATTTCAAGTTTTTTATAAAACTGAAATATGCGTATGTGATCCACCATGTTAATCCAAACAATATATCAATGCTTATACCTATACTAACCAAGTAATTTTCATATATGCACCACAAATCATATAGGTTCACCCAATTTGTTATTAAATTTAAATGAACTTAGATTCACCATGTTGAATTGGATTTACTATACCCAAAGGTCCCAAACAACTCGTTAGAGTTCTTCACTTGTTGTTAGGGGTATAATAAGAAAACTAATACTCGTCAAGTATAATAAAGGAATAAATAAAGAGGCCGTTTGGCAACACTGTTTTTCGGCTTCTCAGCCAACTTTTTCACCAAACACGCAATTTTTGCTTTCGCGCGCTGAATTGTGTAATAAGCAGAAAAAGTAAGGTTGGAGTTACTTTTCTGGCTGTATTGGCTGAAATTACTGTAGACCATTTTAGCTATTTTTACATATAATGTTTTCTTTATTTTATTAATAAAATATATTTTAATTTTTTTCTTAAATCAGCAGAATCAGCCAATGCAGCCACTTCAGCCAAAACTTCATAAATTTCAGCGGAATCAGCCAAATTAGCCGATTTTGGTGCTACCAAACGGGCTCAAAGAGTGCTATATTGCATAGGGTAAACACAATGCACAAGGCAAACCCAAATTTGATATAAAGGATGTTCTAAAAATTAATACTGTCAAGGGTATTTAAACCCAATAAGTACAACACTTCATTATTATGGTATAGCTTCTTATGCTCATAAAATGTGGACACAGTACAAGTGTTCTAGTTTTTATTCACACTTATATTGTTTTTAGATTAGTCAAGAAGAAATTTATAAAAATCTGAAGTTGAATATTAAGAGTACAATTATGTACTAGAGTTATGTTAGAGAAAGGCTAAGAGCTCGTTTGGTAACACTGGAATTGATTGAATTTTTTTAATCATGATTAGAGCAGGTGAATTGACTGAATATGTTGAAGACTTGAAGTATGAAAAATTATACTTTCTTCGTTCTTAAATAAATGCAACAGTTTCCATTTTATAGCTTCAAAATAATTACAATGCAGGTGGAGGGGTGTTTTGAACCACTTTTCACTTTTTCTATTACATAAAACACAGTTTTATAAAACACTATCAACTTTACTTTTTCAAAAGCATTTTTTTCTCAAATACAATCAACTTTTACTATTAAGCGATTATTAAAAATCACTTTATTAAATTAGAAACAATCACAAACACTCCCTTAATGAAAAGCTCTTCCTAAGGGCATCACCATCCATGAGATTATTTGGTGATTATTCTAATGACATGGCAGATTATTTCGGGGAGCATGATTGAGTGAGAGAAAGTATTGGGAAGGATTAACTAACAGAAAAAATCAGAGATCAAAATAAGAAACCGAATTATTTTGAGATTATTTATGAAATTAGAGTTAATTAGTCAATACAAGACCCACAAAAGACCAGATTATTTCGGGATGATGGTTAAAGGTAATTCAGAGGGGATGATATTATTTCTAAAACAATTGTGGAGCAAATATTAAAAGGTAAGAATCGCAAAAATCAGATTATATTAGAAGCATGGATGTGGATGCTCTAAGGGCAAATTATACTGTGGGATCGGCATACCATGCTCATGGTACACCAATCCCAATACGGTGACATTTTTCTTTGATCACCACGGTCTCATGGTCTCTTACTCCCCCAGCCCACCATCTTTCTTTCGTTCTTTTTGTTTTTTTACTTCTCATCAAAAGTTAACAATCATTGAGTCCACTATTTCCAAATGGTTTTTTTTTTCTAATTCATGACCAGTGGAATGTATTAAGAGTATTATAATTTTCTGATCCAATTTTTATCATTTCAAAATAAATTAATTACGTTTTTCTATCTCAGTCATTAATCATACACTTCTTTCTATTTTCTTTATTCAAATGAAATTACAATAAAATTTATTTTTTATGTAACGTTTTTTTGTATTTATACATTTCTTTCATAATATATTTTTCATATTCATACACTTTTTTCTATAATATATTTCTTATCTCTTTTATATGTTGTTAGTTTTTTAAAACATTAAATTTGTTTATTTTGAGTTAAATTTGATAAAATATGAAATTAGCTTTTCATATGTGTGGTTTATATGTTCATAAAATATATTTTGGCAATTATAATTAATTGAGCAATTATACTCCTTGTTTTCACTATTTATATTTGAATAATTTGATCATATATGGAATTACATCTTCACATGCATGAGTTACACCTTTTTATGTGTGCGTGTTGGGTTAATGGCCCAAGTCGAGGTTCGGCCCATTTACCCCTTCCAGACAAACGTCCAGGTAGATCACCGAGCTAACTTGGCAAGCCCATTTTCTCCAAGAGAGACGAACGTCTGTGGTTGGGCCAGGCTCAACGGCCCATCTCGACGAACGTCTATGCAGGGACAAGGAGCAGGACCACGGGTCGCCGGGATGACGACGAACGTCGCCAGGACAAGCCTATAGCCATCAGAGGCGGTCCAGTCCGCATGGCGAGAATCCACCTGGAGCCAAAGGCCAGGGGACGAACGGCCGATACCCCTTGGGGGCCACCTGGAGCAGTCCAACTCGCTCCCCTGGCGGACGGATGTGCCCACTAATTAGGCGGGAAACCTAGATTCTGGCGGGAAGTGCATTTAATGCTGAAGATTTGGTGGTTGAGACACCAGCGAACCACGGGCTTCCACGTCAGTATAGCCACCTGCCCATCGGTGGGTATAAATAGAAGCATTTATTTCATTGTAAAGGGTTGGCAACTTTCTATTCTTAGCACACTAGCTATAGCATTCTTACTCGCAGCACTTCTACTGCCTGGTAAGACGAACGGCCGACGGAGCCTTAGCGAAAAGTATTGTATTAGGGAGTTATTAAGAGATAATAATACCTAATCACTTACTTGCTACTTCTTGTCCTCTTTGATCCATATCATCTGCTTGTTGGGCTAGGTATTCATACACACCCCACTCGAAATCCTTGGGCTTACGTGTTGGACCCAAGGGTTGAAGGAATAAACCTCAACACTGGCGCCGTCTGTGGGAAACTGAACTAAAAGTTTCCAAACTCTCCCAAACAGCTACTAAATCTACCCACAGCAAGCACGATGACAAGGAACAATCGACAACACGACCTCTCCGAGCAGCTGTCCCGCGGGCGAAGCAACCGCGGACAAACCACGGAACGCTCCGAGACGTTGGGAACAACTGGGGGTGAGGGTGGCCTCACCAACCTCATCCCCCACGAGGCTAGACGCGACCCCCGGCTCATGAGGGAGTTGGCGGAAACAATGCGCCGAATGGCGGACGAACAGGAGGCGGAAGAAGAGGTGTATTCAGCTAACACCATCTGGACGCCCATATCACCCATCCACCACATGCAGTCCCTGGACGAGACAGCAGAGTCGGTCGGGCGTCGGACGCCCATCCACATGAGGTTGGGCCAAAATCCGTCCTCCCACGGGGCTGGGGGGCACACCAGCGCCAACACCCCTCGTTATGGTTGGCAGGACGATCATCGGGGGCGCACACCGGATGTTCCCTCAGGATAGCAGGGCACCGCCATTACTGTGACACCGCACCCGAATGTCCTTGGAAATTTGATTTAAATATTCAAAGTTTATGTATTGGATTTCTGATTCCCAAACAATTGTAAAACGATTAATGTTTTACGTAATTAATGATCGAATATTGCACTGTTCGAACTCGTATATTAGTGTCGGACATACAAATACTATTTGGGACTTATTAATAGATAAAAGAGCCCAACATTTTCTAAATAGTAATACATGACCTTTCAAGACAATTTGAGGAAGGTCGGGCGGCCCAAACTTTATTTTGGGCCCAACCTGCTAAAAATAGCAAGCATTCGAGAATGGCGTTCTAGACCCACTCGGGAGTGACCCACACGGCTAGTAGCCCAATAATATGTATGACAAATGTCAAATAGGTGATAGAATGATTAAAGAAGAATACAAATGCCTATAACCCCATCTTTGGCATTATTGAGCTAAATAATGGGAGTAAGATTTTCCTTCTATAATATCCATCAAGTAAATTATTGGGATGAGCCTACACATATTGGAGATCAATAATGTGATTTAATAAGTTGACTTGTTCTAAATAAATTAGGATGAGTACAAAAAGACATCTTTGGCAAAGATAAAACAATAGGACCCATCTTCCCATTTTTTTTTTGGAAGTATTGGTAGATGTTTTGGACCCCAAAATGATTGGGATCAAGGGGGAACCACTCCACATGACATTAGTACCTGCAAGACAAATAAAAATGGGTTAGAAGACTTACCTTGGCCGACCAGTATGGAGGAGAGCTGCACATGACTTGATAAGAATCAAAGTTTGGGCCACCACCCTTATTTTCGCACAAATTTGTGTGCTGTTTGTCTCCTCTCATTATAGGAGCTATACTCAACCAAATAACGTGAATGAGGTGTCCTTGGATAGCCCTTGAAGTGTAGTTTCATATTTGTGTGGTCTATGTTCGAGAAGGGAGAGCTTATCATACAAAAATCGAGCTGGAGTGAGCTGATGTCTGTAAACTCGAGCAGTGAGAGTGCTGCAGCTGTTTGGTTGATATCTCGAGTTATACCAAACCAATCGAGGCGTGTAAGATACCCAAAGAAAGCTCTCAAGACGAGGAATCTGTGAAGGTCTGGTTTGCATCAATCGGAGTAGTGGAAGGCTTCCAAATCGTCCGAGCAAAACGCAACCTCGCAGAAACGGATCTACTCTTCTAAGTGAGTTGTTAACCCCAAAACCTTTCCATTCATTTTCCAATTGATAAGAACGATTGGTGGGACTATTATACACTACTCCAAGTGTATAATACGTCCCTATTAAGTTATTTTATTAATGTAAAGGTTAGATACTAACCTAGAACAAATATTGGAAAACTAGGAATCGAGTTAGCCGGAAAACACCCGTTCTAGGGGCTGTTTTCGTATCAACGATTAGGGGTTGAAATAGCAACTTGAGGAGGCTGTTTAACACCCATATTCAAGCAAGGAACCAGTTCTCAATCTTCCTTGGCCGAGGCTTTGGTCATTGGATCAAGAAGGAAAAGTTTAAAGCTCAATCAAGGTGAGGACCGACATCTAGTTGCTTACAACTTGTAGGTTATGCATGAGATTACCTAAATGCTTAAATCATGTTTTTGTGAATAAATATGCTTGAACATGATATGAATGATAAGTAATGGACTTGATCATGAATTGAAACCATATTGATGAATATGGAGTCATGTGAGATAGAGGTATGCTAATATGGTAAATTGACCTTTCCAACTAATGTATGAATGTGATGTGTATGTAAATGTATAATTGCATGATGATGCTTGACACATGGGAGGCTGCCACATATCTATTGATATGGAGGAGCTACCATTAATGATAAATGAGTTGTAGGAATAATCTTAATAGTATTGTGATGCTAGTTAAGGATTGTCCTAAATGTGTTAGAATCAAACTTAAGGTTTGAAGTTGTTTGTGATGAACTTGAATGAGATTCAAGTGTCAATTGGTGTGATTGTATGAAGTAGGAGATCTATGGTGTTATTGTATGAAGTAGGAGATCTATGGGGTGAATACATGAAGTAGGAGATCTATGATATGATTACATGAAGTAGGAGATCTATGATGCGAGTGCATGATGATGTACTCGAGCCGAACTCTAGAAATGAGAAGTTACATTAGGGTTGGACCCTATGTATGTCGTGACCATTAGTCACGGGGTTTTGGGAAATGTTTTGTGATAAACATGGGCCTTTGAGCCGACTACTTGACTTATATAAAGTAAGTATATATTTTGAAAGGGGTAATTTGGGATTACAGCCTAAACTATACTATCACCCTATTTGAGGGTCTTGTGTGTGAAATACTTGTTGTATATCTATTAGATGCCTGCCACACCAGTACTTTATAGCCGTATAGAGTACTGACCCCTTCGGGGGCGTCCCACCACCATTTCAGGTTGAGGCTAGAGCTTGCATCCTGTGCTCGTTGATCGAGTGATTCCTAGGAGAGAAGACTTGGTTCGTGCTTCCTCCATTCTATTTGAAACATTAATAAATTTGCTCATGGATATTTTACTATGGAGCCTGCGTGCTCATGAAACGCCTTGTGTGGCCTTCTTGTTTAAAACAATGTTTTCCGCTGCGTTATGAATTACTTATTATGTTTGTTTATGGATGTATATGTGTGAATGATATTCAAGACGCCTTGTATAATATGAATGTGTTGGACTACGGTTGACTATTCGTATTGTACGGCGGGTTGTTGACGCGTCCGGATAGGTCCGGGGCGTGACAATTACCCCCGCCGCCAGTATCATTGGACGACGTTTCCAAAGGCGTGGCGCCCATATTACCCGAAGGCAACCCGACGCGGTTGCCCCAAGAAGGAACATTGCGCTAGAGGCCGCCCCTCCTGTGTCCCCCGGAAGGGCCGCACATGAGGCCCGGCTAGAGGCAATGGAACGGCGAATAGCCGAAATGGACAGACGGGCGGAGGCCACCCCAGCCACGCCTCGCTTCTCCCTCACCTCGCCATTTACTCCGAGGGTCATGAATGCAGAGATTCCGCGGGACTGCAGACCCCCCGGAGGAATAGTATACAATGGGACCGGAGATCCCAAGGCTCATTTGATCAGCTTCCAGGGGAACCTCTCCATGCTGGGAGCATCCGATGAGGCCATCTGCCGGCTTTTCTTCAGCACCCTGAGGGGCCCGGCGCAGGAGTGGTTCGGACAGCTGAGGCCCGGATCTATTGATAACTACGAACAGCTGTCCCAGCAATTCATGGCACAATTCGCTGCCAGCACCACCCCCAAGAAGAGCTTCACATCGCTCACCAGTGTGAAGCAAGGCAAGGACGAACCTCTGGCCAAATTTCTGGTCAGATGGAGAGACAAAGTGCTCCAGGTAGATGATCTGGACGAGCGGCTGGGAGTGAACATGTTCACCAGC